TCACAACGAACGCCACTGGTGAAAATTAAATTTTCTTCTTGCGACATGATCACCTAATGGGTAAGTCCAATTGACAAAAATTTTGTAAAAATCCTATTACTAATAACGGAGCTACAATATGGGAGTCATGAAAAGTGAGACACACTGTATATATATATATATTCTTATCATGTTTTTCTTGTTTAGCGGTTTTTTGGTTTGACATAATTGCCAATCAATGGTTTTGTATAGTTTTATAAAAATTTATTTATATGGTTTTCGAGATAAGCATTATCATTATTTTGCTATTCTATTACTACGTAATAATTATATTGTTTATCTCGCAAACCATAAAACCATACAAATAAAACTAAATACTCATATAATTGTCAATACAGTGTGTCCCACTTTTTTTCCTATTTTCGTTTGATTTATTTTTTAAAAGGCTTTAATCGCATGTCACTTGTTTTGACCACTAAACTCATGGCCAACTGTGATCTCTTTTTAGAGTCAAAATTTTAAAAAGTACTATTTGGGATATTTTTAAAGCAAAAGTAACCACGTTTTCTTGTTTAGGATCACTTAAAACTGGAGAAGAATGAGCACTTTCAAAAGCGCTCATAAGTGCTCATAAATGCTCATTATTGCTCGAGCGCTTATAAATAAATTCTCGAGCATTTACCAAAGTGCTCGATATTTGAATTTGGCGCCAAGACTAAATAGCGGGGTTATAAATTAACCAACAAACAACTACTGTTTACATCTGAACATGTGCAGGTCACAAAAGTAGTGCAGGTTTATCCAATTCCAAAATGGTTTACTTATATCTATTTTGTTGCAATTTTTTTTTTCAATATTTTTTTTTATAAAATGTATATTTCATTATTTATAAATGCTCGAGCATTTATGAGCGCTTATCAGCATTTATGAGCGCTTATGAATGCTTTGCAAAGCGCTTCAGCCATCTATACATAAAACCCCACTATACCAGTTTTATCGCTCTTAAATGCAGGTGTCGTAGCTGGGCATTTTATACTTTTTTGATAACAAAAATTTTGAAAAGTACCTATTATTAGCGATTTTTTTAGAGCCAAAGTAAACACGGATCCCTATTCGGGACCACTTACAAACCTTCTATTGCACTTAATAAATACAGGCTGTCCCAGCTGAGAATATTTAAATTTATTGAAAACAAAAAAGTTGAGAAAACGAGAATATACACATTTAATGGATATTTTAATAATACCGAATGTTTCCCAAGCAACAACTTAATTTAGGGTAGGTTGGTAGTATAACAAACACGTACATAAATATTATCAAAAATCTTTAACTAAAATCTGACTGAAAAATTTCTTAGAAATTCTTGCAGTTGGCCATGAGTTTAGTCGTCAAAATAAGTAACATATGTGCTAGAGATCTATCCAACACAGCTAAAAAGTTTTCAAACATCGATTTAAGAAATGTAAATTTTACAAAGGTGGTAAGGTCTTAAGTGGAACACACTTTAAATGTGTTTTTCTTGTTTAGCGGTTTTATGGTTTAATAGGATTGTTTTTTATAGTATTATTTTTGTGATTTGCGAATTAAGCATTACCATAATTAATTAAATTATTATAATGCAAAATTTTTGCGATTAAACTACTACGAAATAATGATAATGCTTATCTCGCAAACCATAAACTATAAAAAACATTGATTGGCAATTCTTTCAAACCACAATACACTAGAATCTATTGGTGCAATTATAACTTTTTATCTCCAATTGTTTTGTACCTTTTTCAATCTAATATGTTATGTAGGTACTTATTCAATATTTTACTGGTAATTTTAATGTAAATGTGTTTACTACTTTAAGTTTTGTAAATTTACTATATTTCCTTTCAAAATGTGTCTAGTTAGTTCTCTCTAAAGTGTTCTTATCTCACAATTTTGTGATTTTCCTGACCATGGTTAAGTATATTGTCACGAAATAAGAAAATATTATTTATTGATTTATGAATTTTACTTTATTTTAATATAATAATGATTTTCCCACATAAAAGCAACAGGAAAGTTTCAGATTATTGCAGACTATTTGATTCTCAAATAGAGTTACGTGGAAATTTATTGTGAGAAATGCAATCTTGCAATAATCAGCAAACATGTATTTCTCGTGTATATGACGTAGTGTTCTAGTTTTGTATATAAACCCATATTGCTTGTAATGTAAATTCATTCAGAAATAAAGCCGTTATGATGTAAGTTTGGCCTTTTAACCATACGTCACCCAACAGTCCCAATCACTACTGGTGGAGTCCCTCTTCGTCGCTGTTTTCTTCTTCTGCGTTGAAAGTTTGGTTATTAAAGTCTTCTGAGTCTTCTATATTAAATGTTGAGTTTTGGATTTCTTCTTCTGATTTTTCTTCGCTGTTTTCAGTCTGTTTTTCGGGTACTATAGGTTCTTTCGGTGGTCGTAGAAAATATCTTGTTTGTTTCGGTTCGGTGCCAGTCGGTGATCGTGGTAACGTTGAGGAGGGTTCGAAGATGGATTTTTCCGTGCTGCGATGTGATGGGTTGAATGTCAATTTTCCCAACAGCTTCTTGCGTGACATTAAATTTAACTAACGCCGACCTTGTTTTTCTTAGAGTTCCCAAATAGATTCAGCGAGCATTCGGTCAATCCTGGGTACCGATGCTTTCTCTATTCAGGAAGTCTTCTATGAATAGATACAGCGAGTATTCGGCCAATCCTGGGTACCGATACTTTCTCTATTCATAGTGATGGTACAAGATCGTTGGCGCCTCCACCATGTGACGGTCTCCACCATGTGACGAAGCGGGGTCTCCACCATCGATGATTGGGACTGTTGGGTGACGTATGGTTAAAAGACCAAACTTACATTATAACGGCTTTATTTCTGAATGAATTTACATTACAAGCAATATGGGTTTATATACAAAACTAGAACACTACGTCATATACACGAGAAATACATGTTTGCTGATTATTGCAAGATTGCATTTCTCTCAATAAATTTCCACGTAACTCTATTTGAGAATCAAATATATAAATATAAATATTTTCTTATTTCGTGACAATATTATCTTATTGGCAAATAAATATACTATTATTATTATCAGTGCTTATCGCCCAATCAGGTCGATTAAATATAACGATAACCACTAGTTCTAGTGGCTAACGTTAACGACTTATGTTAGTGAATTCGCCTCTTTATCATGTTAGTTTCTCTCACTGTCTCTCCTTCAAAATGTTTTATATTTTTATTTTTGTTATGACTAATGACCCTTATCACGTGACATCAAAATATTTGTCTATAATTATTTTCCAGTTTTTGTATGTTTTTAGGTTTTATTGTAGTTTTCATTAGTTTATTCCCTAGTAGAAATTTTACGTAGAGAAAACGTTTTTTCCACGTTGGAAAAACCTCACTTTTATGTATAATTTTTTGACGACATGTTTTTGTTTATAACGTTTAAAAACGTGGTATTATTGTATGTATTATAAAAAGTTGTATTTTTAAATAATTTTTGGTAAAATTTTACACTGTCAAAATTAATGGAAAAATGAAAAACTATTTTTCCAAAAATATGCTGTTGTACAAAATAAAAATAAAAACAAAAAAAAGTATTACTAGTTAACAAAATATAAAAAATATTATTTAAATAACATTTGGTATTATATTACTTATACTTAAAGTAAACAAATTAAAATATAACAAAATAACTTAAACTAAAAATTTACAATGAAGTAGTTTTAGGTATATTGAAAAGAAAAAATATTGCCTATATGCTAATATATTTATTAACAATTTTCTAAATACAAGATGCTACAACTTTTAAATCAATATAATAAAAATCTAAAAAAATCTTATTTAAATAATAACTAAGCAAATTCAAATATAACAAAACCTAAAACATTAGGCTATATAGCCTAAATAAAAAAATTAACAATGAAGAGCAGTTTTAGTATTTTAATAAGAAAAAATATTTCCTATTAACAATTATTACAATTTTTCTAAATAAAAGATTATACAAATTATAAATTACCTAACAAAAATAAATAGTCTAAAAGATATTTAAGTAGTTAGTTGAATTATAACAAAAGTCTAAATAAAAAAATTACAATGAAGGTGATTTTAGGTCACAAATTTTTATTTTTCATTGAAGGTTTTGAACTACAAATATATAAAAAAATGTAAGGATTTTCGCTTATATTTTTTTACACAAAAGTTTTAAAATTTATTTTATATATTATACAAATTTATTTATTAAATGCCAAAGCTTGTACCCTAAAAAAGCTTCAAATTGATTTACCTGATTTTAATTTATTAATATAAAAATTATTAAAAACCTTTGAGGATTACTAAAAAAAAAAAATTAAAAGGTTTGCATGGTAGACAACATTCAATGGTAAAAGTTATCCTCCAGTGGCAGCAAACATTACGGAAGATTGTCTTATATCATTATATCTTATATCTTACTCAATGCTTATATTCTGACCATACTCAATGATTCTGAGTGTGTTTATTTTCTTTTTTCACAAAAACTTTTTGTTTCCCTGGGTTACCAGGTTTTGGCAAAGCATCCCTTATTTCCTTTATTTTTGTAAAAATATTGGTTTATTACATCTTGAATTTCTGTTATTTTTTATATTTTCGGCATTCCTTTAAGTGAACACATTTTTTGCTTTAGAAAGGATTTTTGCCAGTCGTTGCCAGGAAGGTTTTCTTTAAAAAACTAATTATCACTCCTTTCTGGTTTAGATATGACTGCACTCTTTTGTATCTTGTTTTGCAAAAGATTATTCATTATCCGCGTAATCATTACACTTGGTATACTACGTTGTCTAAAGGTTCCTTTAGTTATTTTTTTATTTACTATAATTTTCTTATATTTTCCGGGAAATAAATAATAAATTGGTGTTGTTGAATTTGAAATTATGTGAACTTTTAAGCAAAATTTTAAATTTCATATTCAGTAATTTAGAATTTTTTGTAAACTCATTTTAAATTGTATTTCAGAAGAGAAGACTCTTGCGGCTTCCCGTTGGTAAAAATAAAACTCCCGCAAACGCACATGGAGCGATGCAGAGATGCAATAGAAAACCTGGAGACCGAAATCGACAACAAAATGCGCCAGCAAAATCTTATAGGCAAAGTGATGAATTGCAACGGCGAAACGAAAACGCACATACGACGGCGATACGTGAATTTTTCGTGGCAGCGAGGCATCAAAATCGGCCAGGGCCGGTTCGGCAAAGTTTACACCGCGGTGAACATCAACACTGGCGAGATGATGGCTGTGAAGGAGATTCCGTTGCAACACAACGATAAGGTTACCATCAAAAGGGTCGCGGAGGAAATGAAGATACTTGAAGGCATTCACCAGAGAAATTTGGTTAGGTACTATGGGGTGGAGGTGCACAAAGTAAGTACAATTTTCATATTTTCGATATATCCTTAAAAACGGAACCCTCGTGTCTGTCTGTCCCTCTTTCACAGCTTATTTTCTCTTGAAAAAAGTTAAAATTTAGTACCTACATAGTACAAGTTATAGCGTAAATAAACAAATTCTGATTTTGGAGGAAAAATTAGAACAATTTAAGAAAAATTTCCTCATGTGACGTTTACCATAAAAAATATAAGAAATACAATTTTTAATTTAACTTGCATAGTTTAATTGTATATTATGTCGCAAGTTTGGTAAACGTCATTTTAGTCACGAGTACTAATTAGGCACAAGCGAGGCTTGAGAACGAGTGTTAATAAACGAGTGTCTAGAGAAACATACTATACTTTTTCTACGACGCAATCAAAAATTATATAATTTTCATAAATAAATAAACTCTGACATCTGTTGGGCTGTTCTTACAACAGCTCGTGACTAAAACGCCACGGCCAGTGACTAAAACTTTTCGAATTCCAATGTTGTTTAGTTTTCAAAATGTATATTTACTGTGTGCCAATTTTAAAATGGACCGTTAAATATTCCACAAAATATTAATAAAGAAAGCTGTTAAAAAGGCAGGATCAAGCCTGTGGGATTAAAATTTGAAATTGTAAATAGTAAATTATTTTATTTTTCATATTTTTACGATTTTCAATTAATTTTTATGTCTGCATTAAAAGTTTTAGGATTTGTTTTAATGTTTATGATTTCTGACGTTTTTCATAAGTTTCCTTGGCTTTTTTTACCTACATACACTTTAAGTGTTAATTTTTGTGTTTGCATTAACTTTTCAATTATTTTCAATGATATTTTTATTAATTTTTATGTTGGAAGTTGTGACGGTCGGATAAGTAAAAAAAGTCATCTAAATACAAATTAAATATTTTTATTGATCAGTAACATCAGTAACATCTACAATCATAGTTTAAGTATCATCATGAAAAAATAAATATAACAAAACATAATAAAACTAATAAACAATTCGGTACCTGAGAATGAGAGGGTTCTAAGTGCAGTTGCCATGTTAACCCTTTGTCTCCCAACACTTAATTTTGTGACGACCCTGCTTTTCGCCCAACGGTACTTTTAAGTCATTCATTTTTATTCGCCCATTACTCTAGTGTTTCAATATATGGATCAGAACCACCACCGGTGGTAGTGCACCGGTACACGAGAGTACCACTTACAAAAGTATATCTATATCTATCAAAATCTAAACTTTTATACAATAATTCTGGTGATAACTTAATCATAAACAATAAACAATTCCAATAAAAAAATAATCTAACCCGTAGGATTCTTAGTGTGGTATTTGAAGGTACGCCAATTTTAAGGTACTTAAAAGTACCTTTAGTAGACAAAGGGTTAAGCAAAAAATGGCTTATCTGCAATATTAAATATTGTAGATAAGTCAATTTCGCTTAACAGTTCAGCTGCACTTAAAACCTTGTTATTCTAAGGTACCGAATTATACTTTAAAATCAATCATGAATTGATTGATTATGGTCGATTCTACGTTAAGAGGTAATTTCAATTGGCAATAAAAAAGGGCACTTATTTTGAAATATGTTAAAATAATATTAGAATCTCTTGATACACAGTGTTTTCATCTGTGACAGGGAATTTCATTACTTGAATTTACTTAGTTTTGTCATAATCAAACCTTAACCTTGAAAAATGTATTTTCCCTGGTGTCCATTTACTATTTTGATAGTAAATCAGTAACTTAAAATATATAGAAATCTATTAAACAAATCAATTTCATATATTTCATCGAATCATAAAATACCATAAATATCAATTGTAATCTTATAAGTTAAATTACTTAAAATTTTCTTTTTCATCTTTTTGTGTCTCTTCCCCTGACATTTTGTATTTTTTTAAATATTGTAAACTTCATTGTTGCGAGCTAATCGCCCTTAAATCGAGCGATTTCGCGACCTAATTGTCTCTTAATAGCATTTTGTTCATGCCACTCAGTAGTTGTGGATGCTTTCGACTGAACATGGTCTGTAAAGTATTATTTTGTAAATAAGTATTTATCTAAATAATTTTATTTTATATTGTATATTTACTGTAATTTGTTCTTACATTATTATGCTTTTTTGTTATTTATTTATGATACATACCCGGACAACAATCGGGATTTCCTGGTGAAGTCATGATGATATCACAACGTGATTTTTTTTATCACGCTGTGATATCCTGAGTGCATACACATGCTTCATCACAGTGATATCATGTAGAACTCACGGTGTGATATTTGCAAAATTTGCGCATGCGTGTGAGCCCTGCGAACTTCGAATTTGTAACCTAGTTTTTTATTCACATTACACCGTTATAATTTATAAAACGTTGTTTGAATATCACGAATGTTGTCAATGTACATTCAATATTTTCTTGGATTTAAATTAACTATATATAGTTAATTTAAATCCAAGAAAATATTGAATGTTAAACTGTTGATTCAATTGTTAACATATATAAAAGTATACATATATAAAAGTATACTTTTATATGTATAAAAGTATACACTGTTTGCGATTGACCAATAGCCTAAAAAATCACGACATGATTTTTTATGCCATCAGTGCACCGACATGTTTGGATATTTATTTTTGCGCCACAAGCGTACATTGAAAGAAAAAGTATGTTAACAATTGAATTACCAGTTTTTGCGGTCAAATACATTTAATATTTTCTTGGATGTAAATTAACTAATAACTTTAATCCAAAAAAATATTGAATGTATTTAACCACAAAAACTGTTGATTCAATATATATATATATATATATATATATAGGTATACTTTTTTTCTCAATGTACGAATGTGGCGCAAAAATAAATATCCAAACACCAATGGCATAAAAAATCACGACATGATTTTTTATGCCATCGGTGTTTGGATATTCATTTTTGCGACACATTCGTACGTTGAAAGAAAAAGTATACTTTTATATATAAAAGTATACTTCTATATATATATATATAATATATATATATAGAAGTATACTTTTATATATATAAAAGTATACTTTTTCTTTCAATGTACGAATGTGTCGCAAAAATGAATATCCAACCACCGAAGGTATAAAAATTCATGTCGTGATTTTTTATACATTATATATTTTTATATATTATATATTTTTTATATATTATATATACATATGTATAAGAAGTATACTTTTATATATGTATACTTTTATATATGTTAACAATTGAATCAACAGTTTAACACTCAATATTTTCTTGGATTTAAATTAACTATATAAGTTAATTTAAATCCAAGAAAATATTAAATGTATATAACCGCAAAAACTGTTGATTCAACATAATTTTTCTCTTAGTGTACGAACGTAGCGCAAAAATGATTATCCATTTTTTGTGCCATCCGTCAATCGCAAACAGCGATGGCATAAAAAATCACGACATGATTTTCATTTCTCACGCAGTGATATCCGGATGATGTCCTCATGAATAAAATTTGTGAAAATCACGACGTGACGTTCGTATGATTTTCATTTATCACGCGGTGACTTCCGTATGATATCAGTATGAATAAAATTTGTGAAAATCACGACATGATGTTCGTATGAATATCACGAATGTTGTCCGGGTACTTTAAGTATTATCTCTGTTATCCTATATAAAAGTTTCTTCCCTGTCATATTTCCCCTGCTTCATAAGTCGCCAGAGTAGATAATTACATATGAATACGTCAAATCATATTTTTTAATGGTTAATAAGTCAGTGTCAGATTAAGCTCAGAAATAAAGAAGGTTAAAGATTAAAATTAAGCTTGTGGGGCCCCTCATGTTGATAAATTTTCGGCTTCAGTACGTGTATCACCGCTTTGATCATTATCTTCATGTAAAGAATTTATATGAGACCCATAAGTAACGAAATATAATTACTTTTTGAAGCTTTAACAGCATCGAAACTGGCTGACCATCGTGTTTTGCTTAATAATTTTACGCGGTAACTTTTGAATTGAATTATAAATTGTCATGCCGCTCTCATAACAAAAATGACCTCTTAACGTAGCAACCACCATATGCGATATGCGTTCGCACTTAGTGAAGAATGCCCCCCTTAAATAAGTCTAAGTTCTTTGATTTGTTTGGTCAAAACTCATACTTTTTTCCAACCCTGAATTTTAATAATTTTCAATATGTTATCATAATTATTATTTATTACTGTTAAGCCTGATTTAAATATTGCCTTCCTTCCATCCTTCCTTCCTCCCGTAAAAGATGAACAATACGAAAATCGTAGTGCTATTTATAGATTCCCGTACGGGAATCTATAACCAGCACAACGGTTTTCGTATTGTTCATATTTTACGTGAGGAAGGAAGGAACGAAGGAAGGCAATTTAAACTTTAAATAAATATTTTTCATTCATAAATTTTAATAATTTTTATTTCCACCTTCTTAGTAAATGACATTGTATAGGTTAATTTTGTTGTTTTTGTGTACAAGTAAACGATACATTATGGGAGACCTGTAATATTTTACGGCCTTGTATAAAAGACCTTGTAAAAAAGCAATGTATGAAATGAAATGACACATTTGACACATTAATTGAAATTTTAAATTTGAAAATCGTTATCTAAAGGTGAAAATAAAAGTTTGTCCGTGTCACGCTTTGCAATTAATCTTTACTAGGCTCACTGGATTATGGGGTTTGCTCCTGCGTTGCTCCCCCCACAAATATCCAGCTCGCCCGTAAAGATTCATTTACAAAGCTTGACACGTAAATAACTATTAAAGGTTTTCACGTTTATAATATAAGGCCAGTAATAGATTTTATGTAGGAAACCGGTTGAAATTTTATTTTTTTATTTAATTGAGCATGCATTGAATAGTTTTTTGGTTTTCGGATCATTCTGCGACGCTATGCCCCACCAAAACACCTAAGGATTTTTTTTAATAACTTACGAACCGTTTGTAGCACAGGGGCGAACAGACTCTCAAAATACTGGTAATTTAGAGCCAATTTGTGCCAATTTTCTCTTAAAAAACTTTGTAATTTACCTACTTTTTTGTTGATGCATTGTTGCGTTATTAAAGAAAAAACACGCGAATGTACGGTCCGCGAAACAGCTCGCGACTTTGAGCGTAGATAGTCCAGTCTCAGACAAATAGTCTGTTGGCCTCTAAATATTTAAATACTACGTTCTTGTTAATTTTTTTCAGGACGAAATGCTTCTTTTTATGGAATTCTGCGCGGAAGGTACCCTAGAAACTCTGGTAGCAGCCACGGAAAAAGGCTTGCCCGAACTTTTGGTTCGCCAGTACACATATCAGCTGGTGTCGGGCGTAGCAATCCTGCACGATCACGGCATCGTGCATCGCGACATCAAGACGGCCAACGTATTTTTGACTGACGAGGGAAACTGCTTGAAAATCGGCGATTTCGGGTGCGCAGCTAAAATTAAATCGAACACCACGATGCCGGGGGAACTAAAGGGTTTTGTTGGCACGCAAGGTATGTAAAAGCTAATTAATTAAGGTAAACGTTTAGGATAGCTTCAAAATTCTACTTTCCTTATTATTTAAAAATTCTTATTATTTTTGTTTTAAAAAGCACACAACAAAAAAGTAAATTTGTTATTAAACGTTTGTCTCAAATTTTTAAATGAACAACGCCTTTAAAAAACGTAACCTTAAACATTTGTCAATTTTTAAACGACCATTTTTATTTTTAATTTCTTAAGCTTAATTTTAAGATTAAATTATCTCCCATAGAATGTCGAAATAGGCTTATTTAAATTAATTGCTTATGAGCAATATGAATAAACAGGGTACTGATTAATTAGAGTTTTATAGAGAACTAAAACAGACAACAATCTGAAATTTTTATTGCAGCTTTTATAGCGCTATAATAATAGCGCGATGTGATCTATTTTTCTAAGAAACATTTTCAATGCAGTGACAGTAACTTTGTTTTTTTATATCTATTATTATTGGAGCTAAAAAGTCAATTAATTAGCAAATTGTTGAAATTTTTTCTTCTGATTTAAATGGCGAAAACAGAAAAACAATTGACCGTCGGTTTCCAATATTCACAAAAATATTTTTTTTAATGGGACACCCTGTATATTTTTATTATTTTAAAAGACAATTTAATTTAAAATAAAACAATATTATTGCATAGGTATCCTTAAATTAAAAATAAAGAATTAATAAGCACTTGAACTGGTTGTTTAAATAACCAAATTATTACTTTATTGATGCATAATAATTTTTTGTTTCAAATTAAATTGTCCCTTAAAATATGTAAAAATATACAGGGTGTTCCATTTAAAAATATGTTATTTTTGTAAATATTTCGGAAAAAAATACCACCAATTTGCTAATTTAACAGTTTGTAGCTCCAATAATAACAAAGTTAGCATGGTGATCAGATAACTTTGGACACCCTGTGTATTATTACATTTTTATATAATACTTACCTGAAGCTATTAAATTTTAATCGTTTTTTTTCAATCTTCAATTGTTTTTAGATATATTGCTTTTAGATATATTGTTTTAAATGTAAACATATCCCAGATAGCACCATTCGTCCGATGGACGCGTCCGTTTAAGATCCATTTTAAGTACATTGGTCCACGGACTAAAAATGGATGTACTATGTACCTCCATATATTTACATCCTTTGTACGATTTTAATGGACGTCCATATAGTGTCCATTTTTGCGTCCATAATTATTATTACAGAAATGCAAGTTAAAACGTATTGTTGGCTGCATAACAACAGTTATGATCAATCTCATTGACATTCAAGCAAGCGCGTGCTATAAAGGACTTAAGCTATCAATGAAATGTTAAACACTTGTAGTATTGCAAATGTAATGTTCCTGAGTCGAATACAAGGATTTCCTGCAATGTTCAACATTGAATGTTGTAACTTTTAACAACTTTTATAATATTTATATTCCTAGTGGGATTGTTACTGGGCCATACAAAAGGCATTTCAGTCATGTTGTAGAAAATTTTCTGCAACATCGCAATGAAAATACAGTCGCAAAAAACAGTTAAAGTAAGCAAAAAAGCAGGTCGTGGATGCTGGAGGAATGGTTCAAACACCTTATAGACGTCCATCGGTGGACGACTTATGGATGTCCAAAGTTGTGACATCTGGACTCTAAACGGATGTCCATAGAAAAAAAATGGACATCCTATGTACATACAGACGTCCACGAGCATACGTCCATTGGACGTCCATAGTACCTTTGTGCTATCTGGGATGGAGTGGAGTGTCTGTATTACCAACAACTGTAATGTTGAAAAGTTCATTCTTGGTATAAACGTTAACAAAAGAGAATCCCACTAGAAGCCTTTATTAGTTTTCCAAATTGTCAGACAGGGTGTTTGGTATTTCCGTTTATTTTTTTGCCACTTTATATGCAAATAACTTTTTTATTTTAAAATTAAACGACCAAACAATTTTCCCACCATTCGACGCTTCTTTGTTAACGTGTATACCAAGAATGAACTTTTTAACATTACAATTGTTGGTAATACTTTTTAGTTAGTCACTCCATCTGTCAAGATTTTTGAAAAGAATAAATATCTTAAAAACAATTGAAGATAGAAAAACGATTAGAAATGAAATAGCTCCAGAATTTTAGGTTTTATTAAAGAATGCAATAGGGTTCCATTTAATAAAACAAAGTTACTGTCAGTTACGGGTCAACCGGAAGTAACTGCGCATTAAAAATATTTAAAAAAATAGATCACATCGCGCTATAATAGATGCAACCAAAATTTCAGATTGTTGTCTCTAAAAGTTCTTCATAGACATATAATAAATCTGTTGGGTAAATCACCCTGTATATTCACATTGCTTACAAGCAATTACTTTAAATAAGCCTATTCCAACCCATTATATGGTGGATTTAAAGGAGATACTTTAATCTTAAAATTAAGCTTGAGAAATTAAAAATAAAAATGGTAGAAAAAGGTTTTTTAAAGGCGTAAATAAATTAGGTGGGATAAAATGTAAAGCACACATATATGTACGGGTCACAGACAAAATAGACTTGCCTTAAGGCGGGTGCCTGTTTTCCAGATCGCATCATTCATATTTGAGCAGTGAGGATATATTATTTATGTAAAATTCTTTGTACATTATGGGTAAATGTGTTCTTAAAGTGTCTCCTATTCGTAGTGACACTAGTTCCAGCCAATTCCAACAAATTTCCTTTTTCCAGTAAGTAGTAATTACTAGATAAATTTTAAGCGATTTTATTAATTTTGCATGTCAATACCTTGCGTGCGCACACAGATCTTGTGTTGTTCTCTCCTTTGCACAGAGCCGTACCAGAACGTTGTTTATTCTGGAGTGTAAAACTAGATGAATTTCTTTGCTAATCCACTAGGAATATTTTAAATTAAATATAATATTAAAAATAATACTATTTTCGTTTTTAGTAGAAATTTATTTCATTTGGATTTATTTTTTCTGACTTTTTAGCGAAATTGGTCTGTTTTGTTCAGTTTTTTATTTTAAAATTGACAGAATTTTGATTTTTTTCCATTTTAAGAGCTTAATTTGCCTTCTTTCTCATTAGCAAATTTATAATGTCTTATCGTTTTATCTATTATTTTTATTTTTTTATCATTAAAAATTGTTTAAATACATACATTATTTAATTAATATTTTTTTCGTGTTTAAAATCTAGCACGAATTTTTTTACCCTGAAAAAAGATCAATTAAAAAAAATTATAGCAGATTAGCAGATTTTATTTATATCTAGTGTTTTATTTAAACTATATATGTACTTACAAATATTTAAATGTTAAACAAAATAAATTTAATACTTTTTGAAAAGATACCGCTCGTACGAAATTATTTAACACGGGCCTGACAGAATACATACCTTCTCTTATACATTCCCTTGCCCCGCTTCCCCGATTTTTGGCACGCTGGTTTCATGTAAGCGATACTGAACAGGACAAGTCTATTTTGTCTGTGGTACGGGTACACTGTACGACTTTTTAAGTTTAAACAAAATCGCTTGTTGAGGCATATAGGTGAAAGGTTTGGCACGTTTTGCCTCGAGTATTTATGTTGGTACCTAGTTTTCATAGGTACACTATTACTGATAGTATATCAGTAATTAACGCAACTAATAACAAACTTGTGCGAGTACTTACCTACATTTTTCCATACAAACCCACAATTCACTTTTAACCTCACAACAATCTACAAGATTTATGCAAACCACAACTACCAACTATTTTAACGGGCGAAATTGCTTCGGCCGGGATTTACTTCTCTGCCGGTTACCGCGTCATTGGTACGAAACAGCAAACGTCATACGCTGTCTATGACGACCGGGATTGGTACGGATCCCGGAGCCGGGAGAATAGTCACAGCATAAAAAAATTCATATTAAATTATGGCACGTCGTTTCACTTTTTAATCGTGAATGTTTGAAATGTAAAAAATTAAAACTTTTTCTTTTAATTATGGAATAGGTATTTATTTTTTTATAATTTTTATTATGACAGACATAATAATTAAATAAAATTAAGTAATAATAATAATTTCTTATGATTTATTTGAATTTATTTAACATCTAAATATTTTACCTGAAGAATATTTTTAAACAATTAACATATAAAATATATGATATAATATTAATATAATACTGTTAGTTAAATTTATATTTGCGTCATTTAAATTTGGACCATTTCATATAAGGTTTTTTATTTTTCTAGTTGTTATTTTTACTGGAATTATTATGAGACTAAAACATTTTTAATTTTGATTTTAAAACAATTTTATTTTATTGTATTATTTTTTAACTTGCAATTTCTCATTTGTAAGACAACAATCATTTTTATTCAACAACTAATGTTATTGTACTCATAAAATTATATAATTAATTTTATGTCTACTCATAAGATCTTTTGCCTATTCGTCACCCTAATATAACAAGGTTTTATGTAATCCACCCTTGACATACAACTTGAAAATAACTCTATATATATTATTAATTGTTTCGAACTTTACTTGATGAAACTACATATTAACTATGTGGATATAAAAACAACTTTGTTGTAAAGTTTCACGAAATTTATTAAATTTTGACAATTGTTTCGCTACACAGTAGCTTCTTCAGAATGTATTAAAACTAATACTGGTATTGGAGTTTCTTCTAAATCTGGGACCAGGTTGCCTCGTGCAAAAAAGTTTTTATAGTACAAAAACGCATCATCTTCCCACTTTGCCCCGTAATGTTTTACTTGCAATGTTTTGACATTATCAGCCTTTTCTTGCTTTACCTTTACGTCTTATTATGGTATAATAGCACAAAATAAACAAGATAACTTTTTTATAATTTTTAAAATAATAAAACGTATATATACCTATTTTAAATATAGTGCAATTTACTGCAATAGAACTTAACAGTATGTACCAGTAAAAAAACACAAAATTAAATCTCTAAAATACGTTATAACATCAAATGTTGGGATATCAGGTGACACAAATTACTAATTTCTAATGGTGGAATTGGAAATTGTATACTTTGCTGCAAATCTATCAGTGGAGATTGTCGACTTTGCACTAAATGTCATTTTTAAAATAGGATTTTAGGCAGGATTTAGCTCCTTTTGCAGCACATAAACTTTATCATCTTATAGATAATTAGTTGAAGTACAGTCTCCGCCAAAAATCTAATTTTTGACCAAAAGTGGAGATTGTCGGTTTTGCTATGACAAATAAAGCTTGTGTTTGTAAAACGCAATTTAAAAGATTTTAATAATGTCCATTGTATATTAAATGTTTATATGTCCTTTGTGCGAAGTGTTTTGGAGTACTCTTGTGGTCTCCTTATTTTTTAAAGTATCAACACATGATTGAAAAAGTCCAAAATAAATTTTTGGTGCCTTCAAGTTAGGTATTTATACTTATAAGTACCGATAACTTTGACTACATGAATGTTATAAACATTACAAACTAAGGAATATTAACTCAAAGAAGAGCAAAACACATTTTTCTTTATAAACTATTAAATAATGTTTTAAACAGCTCTCAGAGCTTTTAATGTGCCACAAAAACAAACAAGGCAAAATAATATATTTTACTTAAAAACAAATAGGACAGAATATGCTAAAAGCATGCCGCTGAATCGAATTTGTGCTGATGCAAATCAATTTGACTTGGACTTTTTTAATGAAAATCTAGGGACATTTAAACATATCATTATGAATAAGCTGTTGAATTATAATGTATAAATATAGAAATAGAACATATGTAATTTTTCTGTTGATTATGTATGTGAATATTTGTGGAAACTGGTTAATCCGCCAATAAAGTTATTATTTTTATTATTAAATAATAATGTGTCAAAACATTATTGCACACAGAAAAATTGCATTAAAAAAAGAATAACTCTGACATGTATAATTCTATTTAATTTTATAGATATTATTTTCCAGTGCAAATTATATTAATATTTAACTTAATATTTGTTATTCGATTATAAAGTAAAACGGCGTGCCATACTAAATGAAACATTTTTTTGCAGCTTATATGGCTCCTGAAGTTTTTACCAAAAATATGACTGAAGGACATGGAAGGGCAGCTGATATTTGGTCTGTTGGGTGTGTTGTTGTAGAAATGGCTTCTGGCAAAGTAAGTTTAATTAAATAAATTCGTTTAATATATTTTTTTATGAAATTATCTTATTAACACACATTAAAATCTTATAACTACATTTTATATAAAATGTTATTTCTTTTTCAGAGACCCTGGGCCAATTTCGATTCTAACTACCAAATTATGTTTAAAGTGGGTACAGGTCAAAGCCCTGAGCCACCCATGGACATGATAGACGAGGGTTTGGATTTTTTAGAGTTGTGTTTTAAACATGATCCAAAGCAACGAGCTACAGCTCAAGAACTGTTGACACAAAACTTTTGCAAAATTGGTGATGACTTGTAATTATGCTGATATCATGTACCTATTTACTAATTTTAATCAGAAAAAGTGATTTAATTTTTTATTGTTATATTGTCTATTCCAAATTGCATGTTATTCAATTTTATTGAATTGAATCTCATATTGTTTTAAATGTGTGTTTTTTTAATGGTGTATACTATGATGTACTTTTTCGAATTTTAAATTGTATTTGGTGATCTACTTAATTTTATTGTGGGAATCAAATTGTGATATTTTAGTATTCTATACACATTTTTAAATATAGATTGTGTTTTTAATATTGTACAATTTTGTAAATTGTAGTAAATAAAAGTTTAAAATTATTATTTTATTTATTATATTTTTAGTAATAGAAAATATTTTAAATTGTGGTCCCAAGCACCTAAAACAAATAAAATTGTGTGCGAATTTTTCTGAAATCTTATAATGCTATGGCTACACTGGTTCAACAAATTAAAATTTGAGGTAAAAATTCTTTAAAAAAATGGCGGACTTAAAATGGCCGTCCATTTTTGTGCATAGGCAGCATTCCGCGAAAGTTATCAAGGGGTTTTCGAGTTCGAAGAATTAAAATTCGAGGTCATTATTTAAAACAAAATGGCTCACTGAAAATGTCCAACCATTCTTACATTCTCGTAAAACCCATTACTAATTTTCAAAAAAGGGCAAGAAATTCAAATTATTTAACGTGTGTTTATATTTCATACATTTTGGCTACAGTTCTGGAAGGTATTAATTCTCAAAACGATGCACGAAAGGGCAAAATCATTTCATACGCCGCGCCGCAGAGGGTAGAAAATAGAAATAAAATAACGCCTACATATAAGCTATGTGACGCCACTGGCGATGGATAGAAAGCCGAAGTTACTGGGACATTGGAGATCTCAATTCTCGCTGGACCGCTCTCGAACATTCCACAAGCGTCTAGGAAGAGGTAGAATAAGGCTTTCGGAAATTTTCGTTTATCTTCGGGCCGGAGGCGTCAAATATGATTTATTTCTGTTTAATACTATATTGATCATAATTTTGGTGTGTTTTTGCGTGTTTAAAGCTGGTAAATGTTTTTTTTTAATCGCTTTTTATTATTAATTATGTATACTCAATGTTCAATTTTCATTAAAATTTAAAGTTTAAATAGTGAAAAAATGAAATAATTGGTCTGATAGTTGGTGAATGTAAAAATGTAAAAAAAAAATAAAAAAGAACTCTTTTAATTTGCTGCAATTTTATACACTGCCAACTCCAACAAGGACATTTTTAACCCGTAAATGTTGTGCTATTTTAGTACCGTTCATACTACTATCCGGTCAAATTGACCGGAGCGAATAAATCCTATTTTTTCTACATTTCTACAATTATTGTCAATACCTTTACACATTTTTACCATCAAGATGACGTTTATGTTAAGCCGGGTCTACAATTGTCGCAGGTCGCAGAACATAAGCTTGCGCAAAGCACCCAGCTGACAAAAGAACCTTGCTCCATCGCCACGTCGCGGGGTGCTTTGCGCAAGCTTATGTTCTTCGATCAGACCCCTGCGACAATTGTAGACCCGGCTTTATGAGAAATTACACTTAAGCCGGGTCTACAATTCTCGCAGGTCGCAGATCGCAGAACATAAGCTTGCGCAAAGCACCCAGCTGACAAAAGAACCTTGCTCCATCGCCACGTCGCGGTGTGCTTTGCGCAAGCTTATGTTCTGCGATCGAACCTCTGCGACAATTGTAGACCTGGCTTTACGGACAAATTCGCAACAATTAAGTTAGCCGCGTAATTCAAATTTATAAAAATGAAAAGGTCAAATTGACCGAAAAGTAGCAGTTAAAAAAACAAGTGTTGCAAAATATAAAGAGCATGCTCTAAAATTGCAATTTTAAAATAGTCAATAAATTAAATTACAGGGGTTAAATATTAAAACTCAAATAGGTGTGTAATGTGTATTACATGTATAGTATACATGTAATACATTGTATACTTATGTTGTATGTGCTTTTTCTTATTTTGTTGCGGTAAAGATTTCGAAATTTGCGGATTTTTTTTGTGCGCAGAGGGAGCGCTGAAGGCAAAACAAAACAAACAAATTCTCTCGCGATTATCCGAGTGAGTCCATGCATGGTTTTTTATTAGCTTCATTGCAAATATAATTATTTATATCTAATTTATAAATAAATCTGCGACAAATTGAAAAAAACGGTAAAATAACGCAACGGTATTTTCAATCACGATTTCGACATGTGACTGAGACAAGTGACATATGTCAATAGTTCACTAGTCTAATAAATTGCACATTTTATGTAACAAATACATTAAAAGCTGTTAGACGTTATTTGGAGTTCACTAATTAAAATTCTCAAAAAATTGATTAAAAATCAATAATGTTTTTAAAAAAAATTGATTTTTCTAAAAAAGTGCCAAGCGAATTGAGTTTATCCTGAAAAAAAATTGTCTTGTAAGTGATTTTTTATCATAATATGAAAAAAAATCGGATACGTCTGAACCTTTCAATTAAAAATTATTCAGGGACACCGTGACGTTTAACATTACTTTCTTCAGCGGATTCGGCAGCGTTAAATATTGATTTCATTGGAATGACAACACTGTCACCTTGTGCAAGTGCGGTATTTACTCTAGGTAACGGCAACGGTAGTAGCCGTAGCGGTTGTATCGGTCATTTTAAATGAGTATGAGTATGAGTATAAGAGACGTATAACCAGCCCCATTTCCTCTTGACTCTCGAACCCCGTACATGCCTATGTTTACTTACGCCGATTTTTGTTCTTCCCCAGCAACTGCACGGCTTCACCCGTGTTTGCTGGGTGCGAATGTCCATTGCGTTCCGTACTGTCCCCCATATATATGGGGCTCGAGAGCGAGAGGCGAATAGTTTTAATAGCCGTTCCCGGGTTCGTCGAGCCTATGCTATACGCTCAGTGGGGTATGGAGGAGGGACGGGAAGGTGTTGGTTTTTGGGGGACAATTACGCCGACTTAAAACTAAGTACGACGCGGAATCCCCCTAGACCAGTCGATTAGTATTACTCCAAACATTTGGGATTACTATTTGGAGTTGGGGAGTTGTTATTTCGCTGCAGGGGTGTAGTTTCCTAGTCGAGGTCTTTGTCTTGTTCGTTATTGTCATTGTCCGTGTCCTGGTCAGATAGTTCCTGCACTTGGTAAAGTGTGTCAGTTGTTTTTAATAAATTTTGTCCCAAGCACGTTTTGTGATAGAGTTTTGTCTTTTTATTATTAATTTCCAAAATTAAGCATTGCATTTATTTATTAGTTAAACAAATTACAAGCGCGATTATCTGTTGTCCAATGTTTACAAATCTCGAGTTTGGCTATTAGGCTTTTTTTTTAATGTTAGAATTATGATTAATGCGTTAGTTCACTCCGTGAGTTTAGTGTTTATTTTCGGTCTCGATTGGGATTGCCTTACGCATTTGTTGTTGACAGATCTATTGCCCCATTCTGTGTGCCTTTCGTAGGTTTTAAAGATATCCCAATAAACACTTTAACGGTACCTATCACCACCAACATTGCCCGTGTAAGAATTTTTAATACTTTTTAATACAATTTTGCAATGATAGTAATTAAAAACAAAACAATTGTTTAAAGAGTAAAATATGTTCTTAACATAATAATATTTTAAAGTTATTTTAACATTTTCAAGTAAATAAATGTTATGTTTAATAAAATGAATAACGGGCAATGTTAATGGTGACAAATAACGGAAAATGTTTGCTGGGATCTGGGATCAAAGTAACTTATCAGCTTTTTTTTGCGGATGGCCACCTCCCCTCTTGCTTGACCTCCCCTGTCCGTCCAGTGAAAAGCCTCCAATGACAGGTGGCGCTTAACTCATTCATATCACTCAACACTTCACTCCTCAATGACCGTTACACCATTTTAGTTTGCACTCTATGAAAATGTCTGTTTCACTTATTAGTTTGCACTTTTTTTATAATTATTGTTGGTTTTATCTTTAAACTCTTACGCTTCAAGAGCTTACCCGCACGCGACGTGTCTTCTGAAGCGCTGGAACCGAACTGTCATTTTAAATTAGCTTAAAAATTATTTTAATTACAAACTAATCGAATCGGACATCTTTCTCCCAACGAACATGAAGATAACGAAGCGTTGGTAAAACATCTGGAACTGCGATATAGGGGAAAAAATAATTTCTACATTTATGTGTATTTTCCCCATTGAAACCAATACCAAATAAATCAAGGGTGTATATCCCTATAGAACAACCATAAATCCCAACTATGGGTCCTATACATACCGATACACCCTATAGAAACACCATACATTCCGATACAAATATCTATCGGTTTGAACAGGGTCGTTGGCGTAGCTGGATATGCTAGCCTGGCCAAGCGTGCAATATCAGCCTCGAATTCTTGCAGAGTCTTGTTTGATTTCTGGCAGCGATTCTTTAGTTGGAAATAGTACACATGTTTCAGATGTAGACACATCTGAAACATGTGTACTATTTCCAACTAAAGAATCGCTGCCAGAAATCAAACAAGACTCTGCAAGAATTCGAGGCTGATATTGCACGCTTGGCCAGGCTAGCATATCCAGCTACGCCAACGACCCTGTTCAAACCGATAGATATTTGTATCGGAATGTATGGTGTTTCTATAGGGTGTATCGGTATGTATAGGACCCATAGTTGGGATTTATGGTTGTTCTATAGGGATATCCACCCTTGATTTATTTGGTATTGGTTTCAATGGGGAAAATACACATAAATGTAGAAATTATTTTTTCCCCTATAGGACCCCATAGGTTTTAATAAAATTTTGTCAAATGTTTTGTGGTTGCTCTATAGCCGGGGTTCCCAACCTTTTCTTGTTTAGGGCCACTTTTATATTATTCTTGTTAGCAGGGACCACTATGTATACCTATAGGTATAATAAAAATAAACAGTAATAATTAAACTGAAACTTTAATTAAAAAACTCAATAGGAAATTACATAAAAAGAAATAATAATATTTTTAGGATAAACTTCTGTAATTTTGTATTAATGTGATTTCTCAGCTTGCATCTTCTTCACGAGTTCGGCTATGCTAGGCTAATATTGTTACTCAAAGTTACACTCAAATGATTACTTATAAGTATACTTTCAAACGATTCCTGGCCTTGTTTTTAATTACCAACAAAGCAGAAAATCCTTGTTCACCTATAAGTTGTTGAGAAAACCATAAAATA